ATTGTTTGCTTGAAATATTATCTTTGCGCCTTTGACTTTGAATCTGTGTTCGCTCTGACTGTTCTGATGTTTCTTGTAGGCAAAAGAAAGTCAGATTCAGTTTTCTAATACATCCTGCTACCCTGTATCTCTTAATTTGTTTATCTAGGCTGTTTATCAGCACCCCAACCTAAGTTCCCCTGCCTCCCTCTATGGAAGGCACCTTTCTTCTTTTTCTACTTTTGAGCATTATAGTTTGCAGTACAGGTGCCAAGAATTCATCGTGTTTGCTCAGGGAGTTCAGCATTCTTATCAGGAAAGTACATCTGGAGCAGCTTTTTTTCCACTGGGTGGCAGCTTTGGGGTGTGGACATGACTGCCGGGGCTTCCAGAGATACAGGGAGTTGGGGGGAGGTAGCCCATCCAGACACAGAGAAAGCCTGGACATTTCATTCACAAATCCTGCATACCAAAACTTTCAGCAGATTGATATCTCAGTGAGGTCCATCCCAAGATGGAGGAGTCTGGCCAGGGGCACAATGGTGATTTTGAATTGTGGGAGCAAGTGGCTGCCGGAGGCTCTGCTTATGTGGGCCCTAGGCAGAATAGCCCTCCTCTGATCTACGTTGGTCTGTTCAGCCTTGCACAGGTCCAATATTAACTGTGGCTTTTGATCTCTTTTGAGATTTATTTATGGGTCTCTGGAGCAAGGCTGATACTTGAGCTTGTATGCATGAGCTGGAGATAGTTTGTGAGCATGGCTCCCATATACCTAAGTTCACTTGATCACTTGATATTCCGTTACTCATCAATTTGCTCGAGCAGGCGCCAGTAACGTCTCTATTAATTCCTATCGCGTGCTAAGTGTCATACCTAAGTTATGACAGTTTAATTTCTCGGAAAACTTGGTCCTGCCTGAGATGTTGGAGTCCAGCCAGAGTCAAAGCGATTTGGGGGTGTCAGGTTGCTGATGCCATTGCCCTCCTTCTCTCATGTCCAGGTTGACTGACCAGTGGTGCTGAGGTCTCTGGCCCCTGTGGCAGCAGCAGATGCAGGAACAGTCCAAAGCCAGGACTGTTACCATTCGTGGCTTGGGCAATCTGGATGCGCCGTAGCGCCTGGGGGCACACGCCACCAGACTGTCTCCAGACAGTTGGTGTTGAGGGAGGCCCTCCTCCATAATATGCACAGGGCAGCACTAGCAGCACAGGTTGATCTGAGGAAGAAATAATGGTTGGGGATTCCCTGTCGACAATGAGATGCCTGAGAAAGACTCCTATGGTGGGAACCCGGGTGCCCCCTTAACTCCGGGACCCATGCCACAGCAGTGCCGGCTGGACCCGAACAGTGCCAATCCTGCTAAGCTTCTTTGGCCATGGCCACTGGCTGTCCCTCGTGCTGAGAGCTGTGGTAGTGAGGCCACAAGGATGCCACCACCATCAAGTCACAGTGGGTGCATGCCAGTTTGGTTCCAATTAAGTTGCTCTTTTTATTTTTATTTCAAGTCATAATTTTCTTTGAAACGTTGGTTCACAGTGCTTCTCAGGAGTCAGCACTTTGAACTCATGACACTATAGTTGAGAAGATTTAACATAATAGAATACTAACATACGAGGTTTATTTACAATAAATTTTATCCTTTGCCAACGATCCCCTGCAAAGAAAACTTTCTTTTTTAATTATATAGAAATTTAAAAACTTAAAAGTGGTTTATTTGGAAAACATTTTATCTGCATGTATTAATATACTTTTCTTTTTCTTTAAATTTTGGTGAAAGCTGTTTTTAAATGAATCACTGTGAGACACAGTTACAAAGCTTCCATGTTTGAGTTTTAATCATACAATGATTGAACACCCATCCCTCCACCAGTGTACTTTTTCCACCACCAATGTCCCCAGTACCCCCCTTTCCCAACCCTTCCTCTGCCTCTATTGCAGGTAACTTCCCCCATACTCCCTCTCTCTACTTTGGGGCATTACGGTTTGCTATATAAATACTGAGAGGTTATCACGTTTCATCCTTTATCTACTTTCAGCACACATCTCCCATCTTGAATGATCCCTCCAACCATCATTTACTTAGTGATCCCTTCTTTATCCCAGCTTTATCCAATCCCACTCATGAGGCAGGCTTCTAACCATGGAGCAATATTCTTGGCCCTTGTGTCTGCTATCCTTGGGTGTCAGTCTCATATTATGTTATTTTGTATTGCACAAATGAGTGCAGTCATTCTATGTCTATCCTCTTTCTGACTCATTTCACTTAGCATGATACTCTCCATGACCATCAACTTATACACAAATTTCATGATTTCATCTTTCCTAACAGCTGCATAGTATTCCATTGTGTAGATGGACCAAAGTTTCTTTAACCAGTCATCTGTTCTCAGGCACTCGGGTTGTTTCCAGATTCTGGCTATTTTGAATAGTGCTGCAATGAACACACAGGTGCTAATGTCATTTCTATTATGCTTTTTTGCACCCTTGGGATATATTCCCCGAAGTGGTATTGCTGGGTCATATGGAAGCTAAATTTCTAGTTTTTGAAGGAATGCCCATATTTTTTTCCAAAAAAGTCAGCTCTTATTGAGAGAAAATATTTACAGGGTCATGCACACAGAAATTTTATGACCCATGGGCTCAGCTGTCTAGAGCGCTGAGAGCTGCTGCCACTCTGCCAGCTCTTATGCCTGTTGCCACACCGCCACCATCTTCTTTTTCTGCCAGCACTATTTTTATGTGCTGTTGTTTGACAGGTTTCTGGAGGTTAGATATCCAGTGTATGGTGCCCATAAGATATAAAGGAGTGAAGGAGTGAATGCACAGCTACATTAGTGGCCTTATGCTCCACAGGTTTCCTGACCTGGGTGAGAAAATATGGAAGCTCCTGAGGTGGGCGGGGAGTGCTAGGTGGGACTTTGTCATTCTGTTTCTGTAGCCACGGACTCTCAGTTCTCCCTTATTTAAACATCCTTTATTCTCAAATGTCGTGCCACAGTGCTACCCAGACTATACCCATTTGGCTGTTCATGCACTTAGTACTACTTTTTTCATGAGCTAGTCTGGAAACTGTTTTCCTTAAAATTCAGGCCACCACACCACTCCGACTTGCCATTTATTAGGGGAGGTATTGAACCTATGAGATGTGACTTCAACTTACCTTATAAGTCCCCCAAATCTCTGCTTTTCCTTTGTCACCATGGAGTGAGGAAGAGTGACTCCATAAGAGCCCAATGCCTACTTGTTCTTATTTGTGTGATACTGACCTAATGGGCAACTTCTCTGCCTTCCATATATTCCTCCTCTCTCAGCCTCTACAGCAGCATTCTTCAACTGCCAGCTTGAAGGTGCAGAAAGTTTAAAAACTACTGGTCTAGCAACTTGGTTATAATTGTCAGTCCCCAGACTGGTATGCAGGACAAGTGCTGGTCTGTAGGCATCAAGTAGTTTAAGAAAGTTGTTATTCGGACCCCTTCTGTTGCTCTTGCTGGTTGCTACAGCAATACAAGAAGCACATGGGTGTTGTTTTTCTTTCCTAACCTGTCCAGAGGAATAGACAAGAATTTTGGCAGATAGGAGTAAGAAGGATGGTGGAAAGCAGGATAATACTGAGAAAACCTTGTTTTGTGTGTGTTCCTCTGTTGGGTGTGAGACTATCCAAAGAACACACATATACACACACACTCTTGAGTGTGAAACTTATGACTTTGAGTGTTTGAACCTGAGCAAGGAGAAAAACTAAGTCATTTATTTTTTGTTCCTAAGTCTGAGCTATTCTTCTTGTCTTCTTCCTAGGTGTGCTGGGCCTTTGACCAATATCACTCTCACCATCTGTTTCTAAGAACCAACTTGGCTCACTTCCATTACAAATATCATAAATTAGAAAGCTCACATCGTGCAATTGGAGCCCAGCGTATCATGTTATTCATTTCTTAATCTAATCCTCTGTCTTTAGATGCTGGAAATGAGAATTAGTTGGAGTCTAATCTCTCCAGGGATGTTTTCTTTCCAGGCAAGCCTGGTCTGTCTTCTTTAGAAAACAAGATGAAATTCAATCTTCTGTTGATGTGATGGGAAAGGAAAAGAGGCCATCAGGGCTCAGAGTGCCCCAGAGAATCTAAATGGCCCAAGAAAAGTGTTTCCTAAAGTGGCCAATGGTGAAGTGGGGGGAGTTAAGAAGCCTTAGGTGGAATTTAAGGTGCTTTCTACTTGCTTTTAAGGGATAGATTTGGGGTCTGGGAAGACAGTACATGAGTTAAAGCATGTGCACGCACAGCAAGCCCTGGTTTGATCCCTGGCACCCCATATGGTCCTTCAAACCCTGCCAGGAATGATCCCTGAGCATCACCAGGAAGAAGTTCTAAGTACTGCCATATATAGCCCCTCAAACAAAAAACAAAGAACATAGATTTCTTATGGATGGGTGGTGATTAATTTTAGTCTAGAAAGGAATTCGGTAGTCCTAATAAGTTTTGAGACACTGTTATAAAAAGTTGATAAATCCTTTTTCTTAGATTTACTAATTTGGGGAGGTCCTTTCTGTTTTATTGCTGACTTAAACATTCAAATCAAGTGATGTGGGTAGGCTAAAATTCAGCTTCATTTATGACTGCGTACCCAATTGTGGTTAAAAACAATTATGTTGAAGGCAATAAAGAAATAAACATTATGAGAACTTAGTGCTTTCAATCTTCTCTTGGTAGTTTTGTTCTTTATTTTTTTACTTTACAAGTGTCTTCAAGCATGGCCCAGCCCAGTTTCTGTTGTATTCATAATCAGAGTTTCTTTGATGTTTGAAGGGAACAGAAATTTTTGAATCTAACTACCTGCTATATCTTTCACTTAGAAATTCCAGATTTTTATATATGAAGGTATTAATTTTTTTATTTTTAAATTATACTCCTTTTATGCGCCAAAATATTTTATTTATTAAAATATCAATCATCTATAGCATGATCAAGAACACAGATAATAATTCCATGGAAATAACATGTGGTGTTCATTATTTTTCTTTCATTTCCATGGGGAGAATGCGAACACATTCCTTCACTACCGCAAATTATGCAATCAAGTTTCCCACATTTGGGGAAATCGCACGGATCAGTAAATCCAGAGTTCAATGGATAAGCCTCGGCCTTGGAAAATCACCTTTGTGATCATGGTATCTCCCCATGTCAAGTAAGTGCGTGACTTTCATTTTAAAGCTGCATCATCATTGTGGATGAAACGTGCGAAGTGCCATACCACACAACAGGAACATTAGAGAGAGAACCATGCAGATAGATACCTGAAAGGGTCCTGCTTCAGGATTCTCTAGACACAGAAGAAGATCACTAAGCACTCTACACTGAACACACAGGACAACCTCCAAAGTCAAACATCGAAGCACCAGCCCTATGGCTGTATTCAGTACCTGTATTGCAAACCATAATACCTACATGAAGAGAGAGAGAGAGAGAGAGAGAGAGAGAGAGAGAGAGAGAAAGAGATATGAAATGTGCCTATCACAGAGACAGGCAGTGGGGGGAGGGGAAACAGGAGGGAAACTGAGTACATTGGCGGTGGAAAATGTACACTGGTGGAGGGATTGATGTTGGAACACTATGACAGAAATCCAACCATGAACAGCTTTGCAAAACTGTATTTCAGGGTGATTGAATATTTATTTTAAAATCCCACTTGGACCTAAGGTACCCCGGAAGGAGGCTACGAATCCCACCACCCACCCCCACAGAGCCCCGTCAGCCAAAAACCTCCAGAACCCACGCACCACCATGCTCACAGCTGATCTTCACAGGCTTGAGATGAACCTCATCCATGAGAATGAATCTGATGTAAAACTCAGGTAGAGGGTTTTGCGACCGAAATCTCCAGACTCTTATGGAGTCAAGAATGGGAGACCTCCCCTCCATCTCCCTGTTCTTCTGGGAACCTGGCAGTCATGTTCACAAACTGCCTCTGGCACCTTATAAGCTCATTAATGGTCGTGATCCAGAGACTCACAAATAAATCTCAGAAGAGAGCTGCAGGCTGCAGAGATGCCTCCTGACTCAAGTCACCATACAGTTAAAAATTTAACTCTAGTTGTATCACCCTCTTTAAAATTTTAGAATTCATGGAATGACATCTCATACTCTACACCACTGATGTACGAAGAGTAGCACACTCCATTTCATGGAGTCTAAAGTAGAAGGCAATTTATCTAATCTTGACTAAAAAATTAGCACACAAAGACTCAAACTGTAACAACGTGTTAGTAATCTCTTATACAAGGACTTAATGGCTCCAGGGTGAGATATAACAACCTTCACACACTTTCCTCAAAAAAAAATTTTTGGATGATTTCTAGCTGATTGTATTCATAACAAACAATATAAATAAATTAGTTAGGACCTGCTTTGGGGGCAGGCTTGGGTGGCAGTGAGAAAATTTCAAAATAAGGTGGTGGGAAGGTGTAATGGTGGTGGGATTAGTGTTGGAATAATATAATAGATTCATGGTCACAGTCCTCCCGTTGTTCATCGATTTGCTCGAGCGGGCCCAGTAACATCTCCATCGTGAGACTTGTTGTTACTGTGTTTGGCGTATCGAATATGTCATGGGGAGCTTGCCAGGCTTTTCCATGTGGGCGAGATACTCTCGGTAGCTTGCCAGGCTCTCTGAGAGGGGCGGAGGAATTGAACCCGGCTCGGCTGGGCCGACTATGTGCAAAGCAAACACCCTACCCTGTGCTATCGCTCCAACCCAATGTAATAGATTATTGTGAACAAAACAATACAAAAAATAAATAAATAAAACATTGCCCCAAAAAATCCCACTTGAGTCTTAAGGATAGTACAGGGGTTAAGGAACTTTCTTTGTATGAGGATGTTTCTAGTTCAAACCCCAGAAATGTATGTATGGTTCCCCCCAAGAACCACTGGAAATGGTTCCCCCTGAACAAAAAACCAGGAATAGCCCCTGAGCATCTCTTGGTGAGGCCCCCAAACAGGGGGACACAATTTGATTGAGGTCTGATTGACATACAAATGTATACACATTTAATGTATACAATTTTATGAGTTTGGAGATACATACAATACATTTGAGATGATCTTAACTGTGTCATATATATATCCATCACTTCCAAATCCAATATATCTCATTATCTTTTTTGTCTTTCAATAAGAATATTTAACGTATGCTTTATATTCTTAGCAACTTATTTTTTGGTTTGTGGCCACACCAGTGGTGCTCAGGACTTACTCCTGGCTCTGTGCTCAAGAATCACTCCTGGCGGGCTCAGGGGACCATATGTGGTGCACAGGATTGAAACAGGGTTGGCTATATGCAAGGAAAGCCCATTGCACACTGGCCCTTTCTCCTAGCAACTTTTAAAGTACACAACACAGTATTGCTTACTGTATGTGTAGTATGATACTATTAGATTTTACTTGATTGGCTCCTACACTCTTTATTCTACCTTTCTTCATGACACAGTTCATATTACATTATGCTGTACGATCTCTGGAGAACAGAAAATGTCACGGATGATTGACTTTTGGAGGTGTCCCATTCCAAATGAGAAAACAGAATGTATGTCCATTAGAGTCCTAGGCAGCCACTGAGGCTCATAATTCATCCAACTTGATGATGAATTATACCTTGCTACACATAAAGTCTCTGCAAACTGTTTTAAGATAGAATAAATGGAAAATAAAATATGGGAAGAAAATGGTATCTGTAATTGTGCTGGAAAGAAATAGTATCTATAGATGTGCCTGGTACAGTATCATGAGAAGTAAGGGTTACCTCATGCCTAGCTGCGTATCTTTTACAGAGGATGGAGGGGCCCCGGAAGAACAATCTAGTTTTTGGTTTGTGCCAAACTGGAAATGTTGAGGGATCACTCCTGGAGGCACGAAGGAGAGTATACGTGGTGCCAGGAATTGAACCCAGCTTGGGTGCACGCAAAACATGTGCCTTAATCCCTGTACTATCTCTCTAGCCCCGCCAGGAGCAATCTGATGGAAAGAGCAGATGGTCCGTTAAGAAATAAATGAGATGGAGGAAGGAGGCAGGAAGTAGCTCTGAAATGAAGTCTTCATCACAAAAGGTATGCCAAGTGGGGAAAGTTCTGGCAAGAAGCTGGGATACATGGAGATAAATGAAGTATGAGTAGAAAGTGTTCATTTTTGGAGACCCTCGTACTTACGCAATGCTCAAGGCCAACTCAGAGGAAAATGAAAAACCAATATCTTATTTCATATTATTTCTGTCTTGATTCGTTTCCTTAGAGAACAATCCATCAATATCCAGAGAACCCCATCCAAGAGTGAATGGTTCAGAAGATATTCAATACTCAAGTGTTTTGAAAGCAGATGCCAGCTGTGCCAAATGAGTTCGTGACAGAGTTAAATTACTTCTTGATTTGAAGTGGCAAGTCCAATGTGTCTACCTAGAAAGGACGAGCACTGGAATACTGTATTACAAAAACTCAATCATGAACAACCTTGAATCTCATGGTGATTCAATTAAAAATAAACAAACAAATAAATAAATAAAAGTAAACCTAAAATAATATAGGAGAAATAACCTATCTATCTTCAATGGCACTTTAATCATCTGACCACTAGCTTAGTGGTCAGATGATTAAAATTAACCTCTGTGTGGGAGGGAGCGATATTACAGCAGATGGAACACTTGCCTAGCAGGCAGCTGACCTGGGCTTTTCCCCTGGCATCCCTTAAGATCCCCCAAGCCCCATCAGGAGTAAACCCTGAGTGAAGAGCCAGGAATAAGCCCTGAGCACTGCTGGATGTGGCCCAAAAAGAAAAATTAATTAATTAATGAACCTCTGTCTCAACCAGTCCAACCAACCTCAGATGGGTCACAGATAGTAGCATCTGTACTAAATATGTACAGACATTTTTTCTTGCCAATATTCCCTAAGCCAGTATTTCTCATCCAGGAGCCAGGATATTCCAAGGGGATCACAAATAAAAATCATGTAAATGGGAAGTGGGACACAGCATGAGATTAGGGAGTCAACAGATAGGAAGAAGAGATGCCACAGAAAAGAAATGTTGAAAAGACAGGAGACATTATCAGAAAAATGTTGAGAAACATCATCCTAAAGAACACAGTATAGTAAGTATTTATACAATGTTTACATTGTATTAATTATTTCAATCACTCTAGAGGTGATTTAAAGAATATGGGATGTCTATGGATATAGCTCAGTGGTAGAATACATGTTGTGCCTAAGTGCAACCCTAGGCTTGATATTTTGCACTGATTCCTCCCAAAAATGTATATGAGAGAATTGCATAGATCACATGCAACTATTGGACCATATTTTACCAGTCTTTCTCCCTCACCTGTATTTTTATATCCTAAGGGAGCCCTGGAAGCAATCAATCTGTGGATATGGAGAGTTGACTGTATTGTGATGATAAAGCTGGGTCCTGGGCACAAACACTGCATGACCCACGTACTTTTTGACTACTCAGTTATAAAGGGTAAAGATTGTGCTGTAGAAATAGTACAGGGGTTAACGTGCTTGCTTCATATGTGGCCATCCTGGTTTGAACCCCAGCACTGTGTATGTTTCCCTTTGATCTGCCACAGGTGATCCCTGAGCATAGAACCAGAAGTGATCCCTGGGTAGAGCCAAGAGTAAGAGCAAGTGTGATCCAACTCCCACCTTCCAAAAATCAAATGTGCTTCTGTGCACAAATGATCATCCAGGCGTTGTCAAGCATGGTGCAAGAGTGAGGCACAGGACATATGAGATTCTAGGCAAGAGGCAGATTAGTGAGCTGGTCAGGCTCTAAATTCAGATAGATATAATTTGAAAACTTGTCTTTTTACTACCTGCAGCACCTGAAGCCAATTTCTTATCACTCCCATCTCTTGCCTAAAAGTCCTTGTGTTCCCCCAGGGCTGAGAGGGTTTAACATAACTTCTTAATAAATGATAATTGTCAATATTTTTATTACCATTAATAAGGGTTCTGTTCTTGGGTGTAGCTTGAGAAGAGTGCTCACTTTGGGAGTTGATTTCTACTGCCACGCTTCACAATAAAATTTAGTAGAAATGCAAATTTACCTGGACCTGAACACATTTGAATGCCAAGGGTGGGTGCTATTATCAATATTTCTCAGAAAGCATGTCAAATGAAATTTACCATCTTTCCTTGGGGTTG